TTTTTATATTACTTTAATTTATATTAATAATTATTTTCTGGAGGTAAATGATTAAAAATAAAACCTCTTGGTTCCATACTTTATATTCACTCTGTATGTGTATTACAACAAGATAGCACTGATAAAGATTGTAAAAAGTAAACAAACTCTTTAATTAAAATACTGTTGTGTTAAACAAGTTTTTAAAATTCTTTTTATGTTTTTTAGATTTATTTCCAGCCGGCTTACAAAAGTTACAGAATATTTAGTGACAGTAAGTACAGTAAAGTAAATGTACATAAATGACAAATTTATTTAATTATATTATGTTAAATTTTTAATGTATTTTTTTCCCAAATCAGACCAATAATCTTAGTTTATTGTAAAAAGATTTTCTCTCACAAAGTAAAACTAGACCAGTGGAAAGTAAAAAATTATTTAAAATTATTTGGTACAAAAAGTTTTCAATAACTGTCATTGGTAGGTCACTATTCAGGTTTTTAATTTTTCATCTTTCAATGTTGTTTACTAGAAGAATACACACAATTACATCAACTTTTTTATGTTTTCAAACTTAGGTTTATAATTTTTAACTCTATTCAAAATATGTAAAAATTTACAAAATTAATTTTTTAGTTTTTCGATTTAAATTAGGGCTCTAGTAAAAAATTAAGAAATATAATATTTGTTTTGTTTTCATGTTTTTTTTTATAAAATTTGTAGGTTAATTGATAGGATTCTTCAGGTTTTTTAAAGTTATTCAAACTCATATTTTTTTCCTAGTGATTTTTTTTTGATTCGGTTTGTCACAGAAACTAGATATAATTAACGCATCACAATTATAATTAATTTGTAATTCTATTTTTAATTATAGTAATCACCATTAAATCGAGTTTTTATTTAAGGTTACATTAGTTACTGTCTCAGTTTTTATATACAGTTTTGCAGTTATAATATACTGTTTGATTTATTTAATTTTAGAGATTTTTATAATTTTATCTTTGTTTTTGTGTTGAAAGTTTATTCGAATATTTTAAATTCTGCATTTCGATGTTAATGATAAAGACTAAATTTTATTTGATTTTAATACAAGATTTACATTTATTACATAGGTCCTTATTTTAAGGTTTTGAGTTTTTGTCTAGTAAGTTTAACTGACCTATTTTAAAATTCAAATGTCTTCTAATTTTCTTCATTAAAATACACAAAAAATGTTGTAATTATTCAATTAATGCCACTCATGTTTTATATGATGTATAAATAACCTTTTATTTTAAATGAAATGTAAAAAATATTGTTTTCTATGATAGAAACACGCGTTCGTGAGATATACCAGTGGGGCCCTCTCTCGTTGCGACCCCACCTCGTCGAGATTGCACATTTATTCACGTAGTTACATGCCAGCGTAATGTTCTTTTCGTTTATTGCCATTTTTATTATGTATACACGAAAGCCGGATTAATAAAACCGGTTGTTGCGTTCCATACCGGCAAGTTTGCTTCTTTACGCGTTAAAATCTAATATTTCTTTATGACAAAAGCGCCCGTGCTTTCTCTCCTCATCCGCAAAAGAAAAATTCCGTAATTGCGCTTGAGCTCAGGTGGTGGTGTTTCTGGTAATTCCCTCCTTTCTATTGGTGTTGGGTGATTTGTTCGGTTGTCGAAATTTTATATTTGCGTTTATACACGACAATAATGTCGCAGATGTTCGCAGAGAAACGGATGGGGTTAGGTCAGACGCTAACAATTGGAGAAAGCGCGATTTGCGACGTGTCGAATTAATAATTTAGAATTTCGAACGTATGAACCCATTTTCTTCTCGACGAAGTCATGAATAAATTCGAGACGGCCGATTGGTAATGCCTTTTAAATGGTGCTTTTTCCGCTCGGACAAAAACAGCGACTACATTAAAAGAAAATTAAACTAACCCTCGGAAAAATATTTTAGATAAATATTTCAGCTAACAAAAGACTCAGTCGTAAATATTCCCCACCGCTTATTTGATGTTTTATTCAGCAGTAAAATTACGGTCAAAAAGTGTTTTCTTAACTCGTCCCATGATACGAAAATAAAACTACGATATCAATACAAAAAATCACAAAGCTAATTGATGGACCGTTACAGCAATTATCAAAAATATTATGGCATTATTACAAAACAATTGCTCGTTGTTTGTTGTTGATTTAACAAAAAAAATTGTTAGCATCAAAAGTACTAAAGAGCTCTCTCCGCAATTTATATATTTTTTCGTTGATTATGACCACTCAAAATGCATAGAGAATTAAAAAAATTATTCCAACGCGACGTAAATCAAACACAAAAATTTACAAAAATGAAACTGTGACACATTTCACACAGTTTATTTCAGTTTAACGTACATAGCTTCATGAATTTTAAAAAATGACAGAAAAGTGTCCTTTTGGCTAGTTTTGCACATCCTAAACATATGGAAAATACAAACAATTATTTAGAATAACTTATTAACAAAACCACGATAGAAATTAAAAATAATAATTACCAACATCAAATTAATAAACAGAATGATCACAATGTTAATTAATAAATTATTTAAGTATCTCTTTGTAATTCTATTTTGTTTAATAAACATTGTTATCTATACCAACTTCTAATCATAAAACCTACAGTTGTATGAATACCGCCTATTAGAACCTTGTTTTAGCAAATTAAAAGGAAAATCAAAAAACTTGTGTATCTAAGTTACTAATTCTGCAAAACTTGTAAAATTAAGTTAAAGAATTCGCGTCCTAGAGAAAAATGCCAGAAACATGGAAAAAATGTTAAAAAAATTCTATCTATAAAAAGTTGAGAGTTTAAATTTTGCACTTTGACTTTATTTATATCTGTTGGAAAAATAGTTCTCCAAGTTTTTTTTTGCTACAGGCTATTAGAAGAAGAAACAAAGGAGCTGTATTCTAAATTGTAACTCTGTTTAATGCTATTTATGGATTTTATTGGTAAATTTTTTGTATCTTTACTAAATAATTATAAAAAACATAGAACAAAGAAAAATTTTAAGTAAGATAAAATACCAGGAACATGAAAAAAAATTTGACAATTATTTTTTGACATTTGACATTTTTTTATGTCTATTTAATGATACTGATAATCTTGTACACTTGGTTGCAAAAAAATCGGAAAATGTCATTATTACTCGTGAAGTACCCTGTATAATTAAGACCCTAACCGATTTTCAGACGCAACTCAAAATACATTTTCACAGATAACTTGGCTTTTGTTGTGTTTGCAAAATTTATTAATTTTATTATTAATTATTAATTTAATTATTAATTTTAAATCAATGTGATGGTTGATATGCATTAAATTTGACAGTATCATTAATTTTACTTTTAACTATCATGATTTTGATATATGGAGAATGCCACAAAAATGGTATGACTAAATCTGTACCGTCAAAGATACACTTGGTTGCAACAAAATCGGAAAATCTCAAAGCATAAAAATGTCAGATTTTTCTATTTATCCATAGTTTGAACATGACTTAATTCTGAAAGGTTAAGTTAAAACTGACAGTTAATCTTTAGTACTCACTACTTATTTGGTTTTCACGTAAGTACTCAACTAATTAATGATCTTGATTTATATTTGATGTTCTCAGCATTTAGGTGCGGCATTGCAAAAAAAATTATTTGAATGCGACATATGACAAATTGACAACTAAATTGACAAGCAAAACCTGTTTCATTCTAAAGAAAATTTAATTTGCCGTTTTTATTGCAATCAACTGTAGATGTTTTTTTTATATCCATTCAGTAAAAGTACAACAATCTTACCAATAAAAACCACAAATAACATTAAACAAAGTTACAACTTAGGATACAGTTTCCTTGATTCTTCTTCTAATCGCCTGTAGCAAAAAAACTTAGAAAATTATTATTCCAACAGAAATAGTGTGTGGAAAATTTAACTTCGAAATTTTTATTGATAGAATTTTTTTTACATTTTTTCCATGTTCCTGCTATCGTGCCTTACATGGCATTTTTCTCTGAGGCACGAATTCCGGCGCAGCTTGTATAGATACAAGATCATCAGTATCATTAAATAGACGTAAAAAAATGTTAAATGCCAAAAAATAAAGGTCAAAATTTTGTAACATATAGAATTTTTTAAAACGGTTTTTCCATGTTCCTGGTATCTTATCTTACTTGAAATTTTTCTCTGGAGCGCGAGTTCTGACACATCCTGTATGTTTGACATAAATACGCAAATAAAAACAATAACATAGCAATTCTATTTACTTTATCTTAGTTTAAATCAAAGAATTAATTAAGTAGAATTAGAATTAGAATTAGAAATAGTATTTGTAATAAAAAAAATTGTTAAAATAATGTCGTTTACACATTTATTAATAATTTTGAATACAACTAGAAAGGAGTAGATTAGAAAAGTTAATATAAATTGGTGAGTTTTTCGATTTGAAGAACAAAATTTTAATATCAGTTTTCACTAGTGAGTACATAATTGAAAATTAACTTTTAACATTTATCATTTGCATAAAAATTAATAAATGAAATTAAAATTTATAATTGCAAAAGCGCTTATTGAAAAATATTTAATAGTTAAATGTCAAAACCATTCCTGTTTATTTTATATTCTCTTGGTTAACATATAGAGTAAAAAAGAAATATTTAATTAAAATATTCTTCACTATTGGCGTATCGACATAATTCGTATTTTTTTTTAAAGACTATATTCATTATAACGCAACAAGTTTGCAATCAGGTTGTTAAAGTTTTTATAACTAAAATTTCATGTTTAATTAAAGTAAATAATTGGCCTGTGTTTATCTTCCACATAAAGTAAGCCACACTGAAAATGTTTGTGAATCATTGAATCCGCCCAACTGGTCAAATTTCAGTTTAAAATTTCGAATTAAAACAAACTCAGATAAAAAGCTCAAGTTTAATTTACTCCGACTCGCCGATATTGTTTTTTACGACTCCAAGATAATTTTAATCACTCGGTGTTAAAAATGCACTCACTTGAGTGGCTAGCGAGGACGAGGCCTGCGACCAGCTCCTCCTCTCGTCCGAGTTGACCGATGGCGCCGGACTGGTGGGGTAGAACAGGACGTGTTTCTCCCCGGTGGAGGGTTGATAGATTTGGGTCCTGCCGACGCCGTTGAGATGCAGCTCTTCTTCGCTCGTCATCGCGACTGTTATTCCGATCGCGACATTGCGTCTGGAGACGACGCCGGCGACGCTCTCCACGTCCGCGTCGGACTGAGCGCGATTCACGTGAGCGGCGACTTCGCAAGGCGACGCACGCGCCCAATGGACACAAAGACGCAATTATTTGTTAGAAATTGCAAATCCCAAACCCGAAATCACAAAATTGTGGAGCGAGTACGCTAATTGTTGAGATGATTAATTGCCGATTGACAAACGGGACAATATATCAAACATAACGCAAAACAACATAAAAATTCACTAAATTGTTTGTTGGGTTTAATATAGAAAATGATTTTATGTTTTCTCTAACCTGGAACAACGTTCCGATAAAGATCAAAAGCGGGCATTGCAACGATTCTTTAGGCAAAAATAACAAATGTTTACAAAGAGAGTGCTTGAATTAAAATTGTGCTTGTGAGATAAACGTTAAAAATAAAGGCACAAAGGGAAAAAAGTCACGTGCTTGAGTATAATATTATTAAAAGAACTAAAGGTAATGACATTTTAAGTGCTCCATAGGTTGGGGTTTTGTACAGTTTGTCAATGTTTATTCATTTTGTGTCATTAGAGCAATAGAGAGACAAACAGATCGACAAAAGATAGATTCTTTAATTTAATGATTACATTGCGTGTCTAAATTTGTCATTTCTATTCTCTAGCGAATTTATTAATTAAACATGAAGAAATTCGGCGAAGAAAAAGCTGGATTTAAGTAAATCTTCATTTGGTTCAATTAAATGCATGCACGTGATTGAATTATGCAAGCACTCTATCGCTTAATTAGGATGTTTGAATGTAGAGTAACAGAATATTCGGGAATGATCTGAAAGCATCCCTTTTAAGTGTTTTGAATATTTAATAGTGTTCAGGAAAGTGGTTCGACGACGTTCATCACCGATACATCAACCTTCTTCATTACATAATGCTCCCGCATTTCTTCAACGCAATTAACTATTCCTTCTGATACAAAGAAAGCAAAGAAACTCACTCGTGAGGCTTAGCGTAAGCCGATATGAGAGCTGCACTCTGGGATAAGACTGCTGGAAAGTCACAACCACCTGAACTGACCCCAACATAAGTGATTTTTTTGAAAATGAATAAAAAGTATTTAAATCCTGAGTGACTTTTTAAAAATCGTTTTTATAAAAACTTTAGTCAAAATTTTAACGAGTTTATTTGCGGTTTGGTGTTACAATATGGAAGCTTGAATTGAGTTTAAATTGAAGACTAAAGGTTGTTTGTGGGCTACGTTTTTGTTCTTGAAACCTTGGCTCATGTCTTGTGGTTGGAACATGACATTGATTTCAGAGTTGCCTAAGGTTATACAAGCCGAATTCTAATTAAGTTATAAATATGTAAGTCAAAATTTGTAGCTTGTATAAACATGAGCTGGTCTGCAATTTAAAATATTGTCATAACTGAAAATTAGCTCACATGCGAGTGAAAACCGCACAATTCGATAATCCCGCTTGAAACTTTTTAATAAAGCTGCTTTTTTGCTCATATTTTTGTTAGGAAACGACGTTACGCGTCTTGCAAAGTGTCGGTTCGTGTCGCGATAAGCCCTGTAAATATCTCTGTAATGTATTCGGCGGATGAATGAGCGGTGTCCAGTTTTCTGGAGAGAGCTCCGCCAGTAGAAGGTATTATCATTCAGGCAGCTCCTGAATATTTCAGCACGTCGGAGATTTTTGTTCGTGATAATACATATTTTATGAGCGTTGCATCTCTTTACACTCTCGGCGCGCCGCAATATTACCGGGTCGACGACGGAACGAGGGCCTTGCCGATTAGTTACTCCGGATGTTTTTCAATCTACTGATATAAGAGGGTTACGGCTAAAGCGATTGTGGCCCCTTTACAGATTATCCGTGTTAAATAAACCCCCGAAGTGTGATGCTGCGGGCTGAGAGTTTGCGACACGACCTCGATGCCAGATATCGACACCGAATCGGAGATGACTGGAACGTGGTTTTCGCAGACTGAATGTTTCACAAAAAAAATTACAAATTTTATTAAAACCAACAAATTATTTATTTTTAACGAGATTTTTCGGTTTCAAATAATGAGAAGACAATTTTTTTCCTTGTAATGTTAGCTGTTTAATAATAACGTTAATCATTTTTTTTTTATTTATTTCACTCTAATAACATGAATAATTATTCAACAAAATTATCAGAGGAATAAAAAAATAATTTAGTTTTGCTCCCATGTGCCACCTATAAAAAATTTAAGCCATTTTAGAATTCACATTTTAAATTTTTGGTACCGTAACGATAAACTTTAGGTTGGGCTACATATAGTGTTTTGCGAAATAAAGAAATTATATTTTGCGTTTTAGTCGTGACAGCTAAGATTGATGATTTTCGGTGGCCTTTTCGACTTTGTCTCGACGAGTAGATCACGTGCAAATGCAAATTAACCGGTCAGGGATCTTCCTGGGGCAATTATCAACCCGAAACATTCGTATTTTCCCATAGTTAGCGAAAATTACCAGCACGAAAAGCTTTCGTTATGTGTACGTGCTATTTTTTGGTATGTATGAACGACATCGTGAAAGCGTGGTTCTAGCCTAGCGATCGTTATTAGGACTTTATATGAATTTAGAGATAGTGCTCTCAGAGGATCTCGTCCTGATTTGCATCGATACAAGCTGTATATTCCAGCTGCCAATTCCACACGAAGCTCGCTCCACCTGTCTTCATTAAAGCTTGCATTAAGGGAACGTCTAGAGCGACACCTACCTCACCATACCTCCGACCCGTCACAATTTACACAACCTCAAACATCCCAGTACAGGATTACGACGAGATCCTAACAGTTATTAGAGTGATGGTTGCGAGCCAGTTTGTTTAATTAATCGAAAAATCGGTACTTGGCCACTCGACATTACAATTTCCAACTGAATTACGGTTGAAAAAATAATCGTACAATTACGTGCATACTTGGCGGCGTTTCAATTTTAAAAAAGTCTGATGAAAACGGGAATTATTTGATTAGGAGCCCGAAGCAATCATTTTTTCCGTCGCAAAACGAGGGCAAAGACTCTGAAATATGATGTGAACCTGCGGACATATGTGTCTGATTAGCTCGACTATTCCCACGAGGCAATGCACACACAAAACTAATCTCGTGCTCTATAGTGGACAGAAATTTAGGTGTAATGTGTTTTTAACTTCATTACATCACGTTATACGTGTTCGCATGGAAATTCTCCCCGGTTTTCACAAATCTTTGCAATAAAATTACGATTTTTTTTTCACGTTGTTTCTGTTAGGGGGTGGATTATTTCCGGCCGTGATGATGTATTTGGATAGAGGCGCACGAAAGTCGTGATCGTAATCAAGGATGGTAGTTTAGAATGACACGGCATGTCACTCACAGCCGTGCTTTTGTACTTTCGCTAATGAAAAGGTCGCAGAATCAAAACGCACCCCTTGACTAGATTTCAGAACGATCGTGACACTTTTCCCGGTTCTAAAAAAACGCAGACACCTGTCCCACTTTGTCGGTACTCATCGCGAGAACTCCTGCAAGAAAAGAATCACAACAGAATTTGACAGAAATACACGCTTAACAAGTTGCGCGAGATGCGAAGTAATAATCGAGAAGTAAATAATAGTTCTTCTCATCAAGTGGTGTAACATTTCTAAGAAAAACACAATACAGAGTTGTTTTAGATAAAAAACTCAACTTTGTCTTATTTTCAATTACCTACTGTGTGGAATTGAAATAGTATATTCAATAACGAGAACAAAAAGTGACCAATTACGCACAAGTGGGGAGTCTTATGCACGAGGCGTCTGCCGATCTAAACCGAGCGTTAAATGAAGCGTCTATTATTAATATTAAATGTTTACTAATTTAAGCTGATTTTGGTTTAAATAATCGGTGGTTTTAATGACAAAACTTTGCATTAATTTTGAAAGTTGTCACGCGCAATTTGTCAGACACATCTAAAGCTTTCCGCCAATCGCACAACCTCTTACGTTATTTTTCTAATACCACCACACGTAGTTAAGTGTTAGGAACATAATACGATTAATTTGATATTGTCAAGTTTGGTAGGTAATTGACTGTATAGAAGATGTCACTTTCGTATGTGGTTGTGGGAAAAAATATTATTGATTTTTTTAATGCAAATATGTATTAAAATTTACTTCTCTTAAATTTTTTTAGGTTTTAACAGATTTTTGTACTTAATTTCTTAAAACGTTAATTACGATATTGAAATAAGAAACAAGAAAATTCTTTGCTTAGTTAAAAATTATAATTTTATTTTATACTGTGCGGTAAATTAAGTTTCTCGGCTCCATTCCAAGTAAAGTTTGCCGAAAGATATATCGGGTTTACAACTTAATCCTTCTTCTTTTCACTAATTTTTATGAAGGCCTAACCGCAAACCATAATTTCTAGACTCCAATAAAAGGAGATTTTCTTAATGCTGGACCAGGACCGTTCTTCATATCCTTGATGATGATTACAGTTTTATATTGGGGTGCTCATAAATTTATTAAAAAATCAAACTCATAAAAGGTTGTAAACACGGTATACTTTATGGCAGACATTACAGTATCAGAGTCGGTATACTTAGCAACACTTATCCGATTGCTATTTTTGACTTTTTTGTCGCCTCGTCTTTATACATCTTCTTTTGTCTTTAACATTTGACTTACCAAACTTATATTGTAAATTACTATTAATGAAAGTGGTATTTTATACCAAAATAAAAATGGTACCTAAGTTACTTATTCACTGTGTATATTTTTGTATTTGTTGTGGATTTTGGTAAGTTGCGCGTATTTCTGATATTTGAAAGCAGAGATTGCAGTCACGTGTGGCGTCTTTTGGCCAAAATTAGAAAAGAAACGAAACGTTTTCGTTATTCTAGTGAGACTTGTGCAGCGGCAGGGAATGAATTAAAAATGGCGTTACGGTAAGGAAATACTAAGTATTCTGCAGGTAGGTGCATATAAACTAGGAAACGTGTAATATCCTTTCCGACGTAGGTAAAATAGAGTTGGGAGTGTTCCTGTGTGG